CTTATTCTCTCCTCTTTTTTTTTTTTCTTGAAAATCGTTTTGGAAGTTTCATATCTTTTAGTAGTACGGACATTAAAATAATTAAAATACTATTAATAAATTAATTAAAAAAACCTTCTTTAAGAATGTTTTAGTAAATTTAATGCTTTTTTGAATTCTTTATCTTTTCAACTTTTAAAAATTACCCTCAAAGAATCAGGCATGCGATCTTTTTTTTTCTTTTTTTTTTAAAGCGACAATTATTAAAGATGTTAATACGTAAGAAAGATATTAAAACTGAAACATAAAATGTAAATCACAACTTACCTAAAAACAACAAGTGATCATTACGCTACTGAAATGCGAACACGGTTTCTTTTGTTTGAATATGAACCAGACACGTACACTGTACCCTGGCACTCCTATGTCCCAATTTCCCACCTTTTAGACTGGCTAGAAAAAGTCCCACAGCTTTTTTCATAGTTTTTGCTTGTTTTATCAAATTTTGAGGACTGAGTTCCTACTACCATTGTAAGATTGTAGGTTCTACTTTTAAACATCGAAGTTTTATTGTGCTTAATTATTGTTATCTGTGCTTGTATTTTGCAAAAAAAAAAAAAACGTTTAAACAAAATTTACAGGAGTGTAAAAAATCAGAAGTAAGATTAAAAATTGGATATTTATACACTTACTTTTAGAAAATAATTCACACTATTTTTTATTTTTTTTTTTGTAATCTTAGGTGGTAAAGTGCAAGCTAAAATGTTTCTTAAATAGATCAATCATGAATCAAATGTTAGTTACCTAGTTGCATTCAGACTACAACTAACTATGCTCTTAAGCGATAGTAGCACTTATTATCGACTTTTTTAAAGTTAGTAGAATGCATAATTTAATATACATTTACCCTAATTGATGCTATGTTACCATTGTAAGAAGAAAATGAAACGAGAATCAACTCCTTTTTTTTTCTTTTTTTTCAGTATCAAAATAGAAAAGAAAAGAAACCAAAATTTTCCAATGCATAAGTCGTCCATATAGAAGATTGCAATCAACATGGCACAGGGTCAAGATTCCAGAATTGAGCCGAAGGTTGTCCCCAATGAGGAGACTCGTTGACTAGCGAAATGACCATATTGCCCCCAACTAATCTCGAAAAAAGAGAAGTAGAATTGTTGGATGTGAGCCGAAACGTGTGGGGCCAGTAGCAGAATGCAACAGCGGCTACTACTAGCCATAGCCACCAACATCAGGGTAATAAAACAGGAAGATGATGATAAACAGGCATATCATGCACATACTCACCAAGTCTCAACATGCAAAGTAAGATCCCCACTTCCCCAAATTGTAGATTGTTCAAAAAAACATGCAAAGCAAGATAGAGTTTCAAAATGAAGAAAATTTCAGGGGACTAATCATGGGGAAGATTATACAGGAGATTAGTTTCATTTTCTAGATTCTTCTGTTGAACAGGGATTATTCACATTCAATATGCCAAACAAAGAATCAATCTAACTGAATCAGATAAGTAAACAGGTCAATTACCTTACCTTGGCTTTGGAAGCTTGCATTCAAAGTTTTACTCAGCCAGTCCGCTTCCTATAATTGACTTCCTTCAAAATTGGTTGTAACAAAGGGGCAAATTTAATGCCACCTAATAGTAGAAAGTCAGAACAATGACTTTGAGAATAATGCATCATGTTTAAAGCATTTGCATTTAATAATGCATCAGACTACTGGAATTATTCTGTATGTTGTTGGATGAACAATAGACTATATATCATGCCACAGCTTTCCACGCAAGATACTTAAGTATATATCTCTCTCCATTTTCATGAAAATAACGTTATATAGTGGTAAAACGTTGTACAGTATCGAAAAGCACTGTAGTTCTAGTTGGAATTGAGCTTCACATTATTATAATCTGTCCTTAAAGGCTTAAAACCTTTCTTTACAAATCCTGTCGTTTTCATTGGTTAGGTTCCTTCAATTGAAAACAATGGGTAAGAATCTTACTTTGTATTAGGCCTGTACTTCCAAAATATGGTTTGCTTCAATTAGTGGCTGCCCAAGCAGTAAACCTCCACTAACACAACCACTCTTCTTTAATGCCTGCAGATTTATATCTACTCATCATACACCCACGTGGAAACGCGAGAATGAGATCTTACTTGTTTGCCTAGGCCTTCTCCCATTCTTGAATCAAGCAATTCAAGTTGCCTTTTAACCCAAGGAGGATCATTTGGACTTAGCCAAAGAGATTCACCGGTATCCTTATGCTTGAAATCTGGTTGTTGTGGACTTCTCTTATTTTTCCTATTATCCCACCATTCAGATGGATTGTGCAAGAATACTTGCCACAAGTGGAGTTTGTTCCTGTACTTCTCCATCCTATCTTCACCTACACTTTCATGGAAAGGCAGGACAAAAACACAAATAAGCACAGAAGACTAGAAGAGATGAAAAATATCCAAATAAATAACAGTTGAAGAGTGACTCTGCGATTAGCAATTATTAAGTTTATAGTTCATCAACTGCTAAATTTCCAAACACAACACTTATAAAAGATTACACACCTTAAAGCCA